TTACTCGTTTAGATAAATACATTATATTCTTACTGTTTAGCAAGTCGTCAATTCTGGAAATTTTAATTTTGCGAAATAATTTTCAAAAACATGGACAAGTTTCGTTACTACGATGTTTTCTTAGAGGAATCATTGTTTATATATGGTAAATTAAGAATAATTATGCTGATTGCAGAGACGGATTTAGCGGGGCCCAACTAATTTTTTTTAGTTAGAAAAAAAATTTATGTAAAAAAAAATCATGTAATTTTTTAAATTTTTTTTACATATTTTTTTTTACGTATTAGCCCGACTTGCAATCTAGTCCTGGATCCGTCCCTGATTGTGACTATTTCCTAACTTCTAACACTTGGCTTAAATTTCTGTAGCCCCTCATATTTGTCCACATTTTCGTGGAGAATGCACTGATAGATATATTAATCACTCACCCAGAATTCGTCTCCCAGGTGTATGGGACATACCAAAATTGGTTAAAGCTATCTATTTATAGGAAGGAACCTTGGCAGTTCTGCAAATTTTATTTGCTTTTGCATCGGATGCCTATCTGGGTGGCTTCAAAATGGTGGTTTATTCCACCATATCTTACATCATTGTTAGTAGTCATGAGAGATTAACATTAAACCCATCTCACTTTTTCATATTCATGAATTTTCTAAATCAATCTACTTTTGTAGGGATTAGTCCTGTTTTGGAATGCAGCCTGGCATACAACTACAGAGATTCGAACTTTTTACTAAGGACTGGTGCTAATAACTATTGCAAAAGCAGCAAAAGATGTATCATTGAAAGCATTTCTTGATGATCAATACATGGCGAAGGATATCACGGCCACATAAGACGATAAAGAATGATAACATAGCCATAGCAATATCTGATACGCTCTGCATCCATCTTGGGTACTATTCCTGCTATTTTTGTCTTGAGTAGTTCATTGAAGCTACTTTTATGATCTCAAAAATTGCAATGATGGTTGCATACTTGTGGCTCTGGGTGCAAAATTTTATAAATGCAATGGACCAACAGGCAGCGCCATCTCTGATGTTCTATTTGTTATCAAAACAGTAGTGGTAAAAAGAAATATTATTTATGCAACTATTCGAGAGCAGCTCTTCGACAATTATAAAGGTGTTACACATATTGAGCATCGTATTTCATGGTTGAGGTATGTCCCTTCACTTGGTCTTTGAAATGGAGCACCTTTTTCCAAAAAATAGCATAAATGCTTTGAGATTTTGGAGAAATCCTTGATGAAACGACGGTAGAACACAGCGTGAGCTAAAAAACTTCTAACTCCTTTCCTGAAACCGGTGGTGGTAGTTTCTCAGTAACCTGTATCTTAGTTCTATCTACCTCAATACCTCTAGCTGATATCAGACGCCCTAACACAATTCCTTCCTACACCATGAAATGACATTTCTCCCAGTTGAGCACAAGGTTGGTGTCCTCACACAGGTGCAACACTTTACCCAAATGTTCAAGACATTCATCAAATGACTTCACAAAGACTGAGAAATCATTCATGAACACCTCAATGATATGTCCCACCATGTCCAAGAAAATAGACATCATACAACACTGAAAGGTGGCTGGTGCATTGCATAACCCGAATGACATTCTTCTATAAGCAAACGTGCCATAGGGGCATTTGAATGTAGTTTTTTCCTGATCATCTGGTGCTACAGTAATCTAGTTGTAACCCGAGTAGCCATCCAGGAAGCAGTAATAAGCATGTCCCGCTAGTCTCTCCAACATCTGATCAATAAAAAGAAGGGGAAAGTGATCTTTCCTCGTGGCATTATTGAGATTGCGTAATCAATGTAAACTCTCCATCCAGTGACTGTGCGTGTCGGAATGAGCTCGTTATTTTTATTTGGAATTACTGTAATCCCCCCTTTTTTCGGCACAACCTAGACTGGGCTAACCCAATGACAGTCTGATATAGGGTAGATGATCCATGCATCCAAAAGCTTTAAAACTTCTTTTCTCACCACTTCCTGCATAGTAGGATTCAATCTGTGTTGGTGCTCAATTGATGCTTTGAAATCATCCTTCATCATTATCTTTTGCATGCAAAGTGAAGGGTGATCCCTTTTATAATTGAGATGGTCCACCCTATCGCTGTTTTGTGATCCCGAAGCACCCTCAACAACTGATCTTCCTTTGATTCTAATAGTATATTTGAGATAATTATCGAAAGTGAATTCTTTTCTCCCAGATATGCATATCGTAGATATGTTGGCAGTTGTTTGAGTTCAAGGGTTGGAGCTTGCTGAATAGATGGTAAAGGTTTTGTGGGACCTTTACCCAGCTCCAACCGTGGTTGCTTGAGGAGGGGCGGTTTGTCTGCCAAGTAACGTGCACATTCTTTACTTCTTTTATCTTCGATGGTAAATCTTGAGAGTGTACCAAACAAGCCTCCAGATGGTCCTAAGGATGATCAAATCTAAATGTCTCTGTTACTGCTTCCTTGATGACATCAATTTGCATGCATGAGTCTGATTCGTTCTGAAATTTGAAGGCCTTAAACATATNTGAGTCTGATTCGTTCTGAAATTTGAAGGCCTTAAACACATTGATTTTCAATTTATCATCATCCAATCTTACTTACCCTTCTGCACATCAATCAAAGCTCTTCCCGTAGCAAAAAATGGACTACCAGAATGAGTGGAATGTCTTTATCTTCTTCCATTTCTAGGATAATAAAGTCTGCTTGGAAAAATAAATTTATCGACCTTCACTAAGATGTCTTCACAAATGCCTCTAGGATGCTTGATCGATCTATCAGCCAATTGCAATGAAACTATAGTGACTTTTGCTTCCCCCAAACCTAATTTCTTGAAAAGAAATAAAGACATTAAATTAATACTAGCTCCTATATATAAGTTACCAATATTGGAAGAAATAGTAAAATTCCTTGGATCTTTTAACTTTGGTTGCAACTTATGTTGGAGAATTGCACCGCATTCCTCGGTAAGCATGATCGTTTCATTGTCCTCCAACTTCCTCTTGTTTGATAAAATATCCTTCATGAACTTCGCGTAGCTGGGCATTTTAGCTAAGGTTTCAGCGAACGGTATGTTGATGTGCAACTTCTTAAATACATCCAAAAATTTCTAAAATTGATTTTCGAGCTTATGTTTTTGTAGCCTCTATGGAAATGGGATTGGAAAAATATATGCTTTGTCAAGGATGGTTGCCTTTATCTGCGAACTCTCCGGTGCATTACTTTGATTTTCTTCCATAGTTCTGTCGGATTCATCTACATGCTCATCAACTAATGCAGGTACCTTTTATGTGCCGGTTCTCTTTACATGTATTTCTGGTATCTGAACTCTACTTCGTGTAGTGATTGTTTTGATATGCTCCCTAGGATTAGTCTTTGTGTTACTGGGCAAAGTCCCCTGAGTTCTGTCTGATATTGCGGCTGCTATCTGACCTACTTGTTGTTCCAAGTTCTTGATTGAAGCCTGTTGATTCTAAAAATTGGTCTCAGTCTTGTGATGTACTGAGATAGAAGATCTTGCAATGATGGCTTCATGTTGATGATGTTGGAACCTTGGTGGTCTGTTTTGGTTGTTTTTTCATTGTCCCTTACTTGTCCTTGATTTTTTGATCATGAGAAATTAGGATAATTTCTCCAACCCGGATTGTAAATGTTGGAGTAGGGATTGTTTTGTTGCCTTGGGAAGTTCTGTGCATAGATAACCTCTTCGGGTTGCAAAACTTGTGTAGATGCCAATGAGCAGTGTGCAGTCAGGTGGTCTATTCCAAAACCTTTGCATACAGGTGGTGATTGGTGTACCATGTTGACTAATTGAGGTAGATTATCGATTTTCACTGAGAGGACATCAATTTGTGCTGCCAATGCTGTCATTGTATCCACATTGTGCACCCCGACTGTTTTCCTTAAAACCTCCCTATCAGTTGGCAACATCAATTGATTCTGAGCTATCTTCTCATACAGTTCATATACATCATCGATGTAAAGTTTAATCACCGATCCCTCCATTGAAACATTTCATGTAATTAGCATGATTTTATGGTATAATTCAAAGTTTTCTTTCTAAATTCGAATTTGGGATAAAGATTTTTTTTTTTGGATCTATTTAAAAAAATAAAATAAAATTGTGTGGCGGCAGCGCCTGGCGCTACTGACGGGCAGGGCGACAACCCCATTTTTAGGGGAGATGGATGGGTTTTTTTCCCCATTAAGGTTTTTAATTATGGCCATTAAAGATTTTTAGTTTTTGGAATTTTTGGGGACGGGGGCTTGGACTGTAAATTTGAAATTTTAGGGTCCTTGCTTGCAATTAAAAATCAAGGTTAGGGTTGAGTTATTTATTATTCAGCCCCTAAAGTTTAAATTTAAATCTAATTGGGCCTTAAGGTAATGTGTTTTAATAATTCAGCCCCTAAAATTTTGAAATTAATTAATTTGGGTCATTTAAGTTCTGAATTTCATAATTTAGCCCCTGAATGTTCATAATTGGTTTTTCTGAATTTAATAATTTAGCCCCTGAATGTTCATAATTGGTTTAGTTCAGCCCCTAAAGTTCCGCATAATTTATTTTTGATTCCTAAACTTTCCAATTATTAACAATTAACCCCTAAAGTTTGGAATTAATTAATTTTGACCCCTAAAACTTTGAATTTTAACCCTTAGGCCCTTATAAGTTTCAAGATAAATAAAATTATGTATTTTATTTTTCAAATTTTGGTATAAAGACTCATTTGAGTATATATAATACTTAAAAGTGAATTGATTGAAGTAATATGTTGCTAAAATAATCTCTCTTGTGGAAATTAATTAACTTAGAATATTAAAAGGATTTCATGTGTATGCTAGTTCATGCGGATATTAACCGGCTCAAAGAAAGGTTAATATTTGGCCAACTTGCATGCACACTTGTGGTGGTAAACGTGTGACAATTATAAGATTTCCATGTGAATAATAAATCAATTCAAAGATGAGTTTGTTATTTGACAGAGTTATTGTCAATGTTTGATCACTATACCAAGAGTATCACTCACAATTAATATTACTGTCCAAAGACTTGATATTAATGATGTGCTAGGTATCTTGAGATGAAACTTACCATTATTTGAATTTATTGATTATTGAATCTTAATATTAATGTGAGCATAATTCATCCTCTTCTCTCTACAGCTAATTCATCTGCTACTACTATATCTGTAAATGTTAATCCTATTCTCATGCTCAATGAGACTAACTTCAAGAATTGGAAAGAGAACGTTTTGATTGTTCTTGGCTGCATGGATCTAGATCTTATGCTTCAGATTGAGCAACCCACTCCTCTTATGGACGGAAGTTCATCTGATGAAAAGAGGAACTTTGAGAAGTGGGATCGCTCAAATC